TTATTAAATATTAATGTTTAACATGCATCAGATAAATTTTCTGCAAAAAAATCAAACATAAAAAAAAAGATTTAATAAATTAATTAAACAAAAATTAATAAAATAACGTAGTATATAAAGCTTTAAATTTAAATTAACTTTTTAATGATTATTAATTAAATCAAGGATAATTGTTCAATACTGTTTAACCATAATAATCAAAATTTGTTCCTTTTTTTTTTAGGGAAAATATATATATATATATATATATATATATATATATATATATATATATATATATATATATATAGTGGTATGGACTCAAAAATATATATAAATAATGTATTTTTTTAATTTTAACTTGTATATACTTAATATTATTTTCATTATATATTAATTATATTTATAATAAAAAGTAATTAACATTTGGAACCTTTTGTGAGCACATTATTACTGTCACTAAAGATTATTTTTTTTTTGTGACAACTTGATACTAAAGGTAACGAATACTATTGTTTGTCACCATAAAGAAAACTTTTGGTAACAACAGTAAAACTCTTGTAACCAAGTAATCAAGTTGTCACCGAAAAAGGAATTTCTCGTAACGAATTATTTCTTTTTGTAATAACTAATCCCAGTCGTTACCCAAAACTGCATGTTTCGCGACAGTACTTAAAGTTTGTTACAGTAAATGAGTTATTGTAACCAAAACTTGGTTTGTTACCATTGTATAGTTATTTAAAGTGTCTTTTTTTGTAGTGTGTATTAATGTTCTAGGATTGTAGTTTGTGTTACCATGATCCTTTTTGCGAATGCACTTTTGCGTGCATGCTTTTGTACTTTTACTTATGTGCGTATCTTTTCTAGCGAGTGCGTTTCTGCATGTTTGTTGATTTGTATTAATGTCCTAGGATTGTAGTTTGTGCTTTCATGATCCTTTTTGCGAATGCACTTTTGCGTGAGTACTTTTGTGCATGCTTTTCCCTTACTTATGTGCGTATCTTTTCTAGCGAGTGTTTTTGTGCATGTTTCTTGATGCGCATTCGTGTCCTCGAACTGTAGTACGTATTTTCGTGATCGCTTTTGAAATCCAATTTTGACCATGTTCGTGTCCGAATTGTGAATTTTGACGTTAGGTAGGATTTGTAGCCAGCTGAAATAGCTTTCTAATGGCGCCAGAACCAGCTGATTTGGAGTCCGGATGAAAAAGTTATGCTCGACTTCGTGGACACTACCATAGATGTTGAGGGATCCTCTCTTCTAATTTGATTTTATTTTTCTAATTGCGACTCTTTTGTTACTCTTTGATCATTTTTGCTTCATGGACACCTAATTTCGATTTGTACCTATAAGATACTAAATCCACCAATTAAAACAGAAATATAAATTAATACAAAAAAATCCAATTAAACGTAAACATAGAGTGTTATTTCTACACTCCACTATATCTTTTGTTTCTAGTTATTTTGTTGTTGTTTCGTTATGCGTATTAAAGTCCTAGTGTTGTAGTTCGTGTTTTTAAGAACGTTGTTGCGAATGTTGTTATGCGCATGTTTTTTTACACGTACGTTTGTGCATGTCCATTTGATTTAATGCGTTTATGCATGTTTGTTGATTTGTATTAATGTCCTAGGATTGTAGTTTGTGTTTCCATGATCCTTTTTGCGAATGCACTTTTGCGTGCATGCTTTTGTTCTTTAACTTATGTGTGTACCTTTTCTAGCGAGTGTTTTTGTGCATGTTTCTTGATGCCCATTCATGACCTCGAACTGTAGTACGTATTTTCGTGATCGCTTTTGGAATCCAATTTTGACCATGTTCGAGTCGGAATTTGGATATTGGACGTTAGACAGGAATTGTAGCCAGCTTAAATAGCTTTCTAATGCCGCCGGGACCAGTTGATTTGGAGTCCGTATGAGAAACTTATGCTCGACTTCGTGGACACTACCAAAGATGTTGAGGGATCCACTCTTCTAATTTGATTTTATTTTCCTAATTCCAACTCTTTTGTTACTCTTTGATCATTTTTGCTTCATGGACACCTAATTTTCGATTTGTACCTATAAGATACTAAATCTACACTCCACATTATCTTTTGTATCTAGTGGTTTTGTTGTTGTTTGGTTATGCGTATTAAAGTCCTAGTGTTGTAATGTTTTTAAGAACCTTGTTGCGAATGCACTTTTGCTCATGTTTTTCTACATGTACATTTGTGCATGTCAATTTGAGCGAGTGTGTTTGTGCATGTTTGTTGATTTGTATCAATGTCCTAGGATTTTAGTTTGTGTTTTCATGATCCCTTTTGCGAATGCCCTTTTGCGTGAGTATTTTTTTGCATGCTTTTGTACTTTTATTGATGTGCGTATCTTTTCTAGCGAGTGTTTTTGTAAATGTTTCTTGATGCGCATTCATGTCCTCGAACTGTAGCACGTATTTTCGTGATCGCTTTTGGAATCCTATTTTGACCATGTTCGAGTCCGAATTATGAATTTTGACGTTAGGTAGGAATTGTAGCCATCTGAAATAGCTTTCTAATGCCGCCAAAACCAGTTGATTTGGAGTCCGGATGAGAAAGTTATGCTCGACTTCGTGGACACTACCAAAGATGTTGAGGGATCCTCTCTTCTAATTTGATTTTATTTTCCTAATTGATACTCTTTTGTTACTCTTTGATCATTTTTGCTTCATGGACACCTAATTTTCGATTTTAAACTATAAGATACTAAATCCACCAATTAAAACATAAATATAAATTAATCCAAAAAATTCAACGTAAACGTAAACGTAGAGTGTTATTTCTACACTCCACTGTATATGTTTTGTTTCTAGTAATTTTGCTATTGTTTGGTTATGCGTATTAAAGTCCTAGTGATGAAGTTCGTGTTTTTAAGAACGTTGTTGCGAATGTAGTTATGCGCATGTTTCTTTACACGTACGGTTGTGCATGTTCATTTGAGCGAGTGTGGTTATGCATGTTTGTTGATTTGTATTAATGTTCTAGGATTGTAGTTTGTGTTACCATGATCCTTTTTGCGAATGCACTTTTGCGTGCATGCTTTTGTACTTTTACTTATGTGCGTATCTTTTCTAGCGAGTGCGTTTCTGCATGTTTGTTGATTTGTATTAATGTCCTAGGATTGTAGTTTGTGCTTTCATGATCCTTTTTGCGAATGCACTTTTGCGTAAGTACTTTTGTGCATGCTTTTCCGGCACTAGGGCCCTGCGACGA